CAAAGTTATAGTAACCCTTGGACCTCTGACGACACGCCCATGTATGCGTCCGACCACAAACTAAAAAATAAACTGAGATTATACCCTTGACGAACCTCCAGAGCTCGCTACTGAGGTAGTGACCAACAATCTTCTACTTTGATCAGATCTACCACCTCATCTACCCATATGATAGAATTGCAGATGTTTGATAGTGATAACCCAAGGAGTTGGGTCAAAAAATGCCAAAAGTATTTTACCATTTTTTCAATTCCAGAGGAACAAAAAATGGAAATAGCAGCAATGTATTTGACAGGTAAGGATGAAAATTGGTATGATGGGTATATTATGCAGAAAGGTCAAGTAAGTTGGCAGGAATTTATAGAGGATGTATGTAGCAGGTTTTGTGACAAGAACTTCATTGATGTGATTGAGGAATTTAGTAAGGTTTTACAGAAATCCACAGTGGAGCTTATCAAGAGAAGTTTGAGGAGCTCAAGCCATTTATGCTACAGCACAATTCTTATCTGGGAGAAGAATATTTTGTATCTATGTTTTTGAGTGGATTGAAGGAGGAAATTAAGCATAGAGTGAGGATGCAAGAACCTAAAAGTCTGGATGAAGCTTACAGGAAGGCGAGATTGTGTGAATTGGCATTGGAAATTGAAGGGAAAAAGAAGATGCCAGTGCTCAAGAATAATTATCAGGGAACACATCCTCAATCACAAAAGTTTGTAGGTGCATCAAATATTCAACAATCAATTCTCCAAATAAGCAGACTTTGATAGAGTATAGAAGAACACATAATTTGTGTTTTAATTGTGGAGAAAAATTCACTCCTGGTCATCAATGTAAACTTAAACAACTTAATATGATGGAGGAGGAAGTAATTATAGAGGGAGATGAGGAAGGAGATAGAGAGGAAGAAACTGATGATAAGGAACAAGGGGCTTTGGAGATTTCTATTAATGCTCTTATTGGCAGTGTGGGACATAATATTCTAAGACTTCAGGGAGTTATTAAAGGAAAATCACTGAATATTTTGGTGGATAGTGGAAGCACACACAGTTTCATCACTCCTAGATGGGCAAAGGAAAGAGTGGAAGTGGAACAAACTCATCCTCTAGTTATTACAGTTGCTAATGGAGATAAATTATTCAGCACTGCCAAGAGTAACAAGCTGAGCTGGAAAATGCAAGGAAATGCATTTGAGTATGATTTTAGAGTTCTGAATATGAGGGGAAGTGATATGGTGTTGGGAGTGGATTGGATAAGTCAATATAGTCAAATTCTTCTGGATTTTAAAGAGATGACTATGGCTTTTAAAGTGGGAGAAAAGGAGATTAAATTGGAAGGAAAACAAAAAGGTTCTTATATGAAATTGATTTTAGAGTCTAAGCTGAAACATATTATTGTTAAAGAACCAGAAGTGATAGGAGAAGCCTATTTTCTGAGTATGGAGGTAGTTGAATCCAAATTTCCAGAAGAATTACAAACATTACTAGAGGAGTATCAAGATGTTTTTGAAGAACCTAAGAAAATGCCTCCTATTAGAAGTCATGATCATGCAGTGATTCTCAAGGAAGGAACTCAACCAGTAAATCTAAGACCATATAGATTTCCACACCCACAGAAGGCAGAAATTGAAAAACAGATTAAAGAGATGTTGTATGCTTCAATTATTCAGACTAGAAAGAGTCTTTTTGCTTCACCTTGTTTATTGGTAAAGAAGAAGGATGAAACATGGAGAATGTGTGTGGACTATAGACAACTAAATGCTGTGACAATTAAGAAAAAATTTCCAATTCTAGTAGTAGAAGACTTGTTGGATGAATTGGCAGAGGCTTCCTATTTTTCTAAAATAGATATGAGATCAGGATATTGGCAAATAAGAGTTAAAGAAGAGGACATTCCCAAAACAACATTCATGACACATCATGGACATTATGAGTTCAAGGTAATGCCCTTTGGTTTAACCAATGCACCTGTCACTTTTCAAGCACTAATGAATGACTTATTTGGTCCATATTTGAGGAAGTTTGTGTTAGTATTTTTGATGATATTTTGGTGTACATTCCTAATCTCTTAGCTCATAAGCAAAATTTGAAGGTGGTCTTGGAAATTTTGAGGAAAAATCAATTGTATGCAAAAAGAAGTATGTGTTTCTTTGGATAGAACAGAGTGGAGTATTTGGGGTATGTAATAATAGCAGAAGGAATTTCCACTAACCCTACCAAGGTGGAGGCAATGCAAAAATGGCCAGTTCCAAAGAATCTTAAGTCTTTGAGAGGCTTTCTAGGGCTTACAGGATATTATAGGAAGTTTATTAAAGGGTATGGGGAACTCAGTAAACCACTGACAAGTTTACTAAAATAGGGAGCTTTTAATTGGAACGATGAAGCAGAAACAACTTTTAAGAAATTGAAGCAGTCTATGTGTGAAGCTCCTATATTGGCTCTTCCAAATTTCAGTAAGACATTGTGTTTGGAGACTGATGCAAGTCAACAAGGAATAGGGCATGTTTTGACACAGGAAGGCAGACCATTAGCTTATTTGAGTAAGGCTTTGGGACCAAGGCATATGGAACTGTCTTTTTATGAGAAGGAATATTTAGCCATACTCATGGCTGTATCTAAATGGAGACACTACCTAGAAAATGGTCTTTTTATAATCAAAACAGACCATGAACCTTTAAAACATTTACTGGAGCAGAAATTGACCAATACAATTTAGAAAAAGGGATTATCTAAATTGTTGGGTTTGGATTATGTTATACATTATAGGAAGGGCATATTGAATGTAGTGGCAAATGATTTGTCAAGAAGATTGGAAGAAGAGAAGGAGGTTGAAAAGGTTAAAGAAACAGGAGAGTGTATGCAGATGACTACCACTATATTGATTACTGAGTGGGTAAAAGAAATTGAGGACAGTTATAAGGGAGATATCTTAGCTCATAAATTTATTACAGGCTCAACCATTGACTCTAATATAAAGTCTGATTGGAAGTTGGTTAAAGGAGTGCTAAGGTATAAGAACATGGTTTACATTGGGGAACCTGAAAATTTAAGGAAGAAAATAATGGAGTTCCTGCATGATTCCCCTCAAGGAGGACATTTTGGAGTACAAGAAACATACCACAGAATTAAACTTTATTTCTACTGAAAAGGCTTGAAAAGTCAAGTAAAGTCTTATGTGAAGAAGTGTGAAGTATGCCAAAGAATAAAAGGGGAGAATGTGGCAATTCCAGGTTTGTTACAACCTATTGCTATTCCTAATCAGGCATGGGAAGTTATTACTATGGATTTCATTAAAGGACTGCCACAGTTAATGAAATTCAATTGCATACTGGTAATAGTGGATAAGTACTCTAAATATGGACATTTTTTAGCCATATCTCATCCCTATACAGTGACTGAAATAGCTAGGATCTATTTGGAGCAAGTATATAAATTTCATGGACCACCTAAGATAGCTATATCAGACAGAGACAACATTTACAAGCTTATTATGGAAAGAATTGATGAAACAACTTGGGACTACAAATTTTTTCAGTACAACCTACCATCCAGAGACAGATGGGAAGACTGAAAGGTTGAACCAGTGTTTGGAACAATACTTGAGAAGTATGTGTTTCCTTAAACCTGGTAATTGGGCAAAATATTTACCACTGGCTAAATGGTGGTATAATACTAATTATCATACAGCCCTAGGAGTTACACCTTTTGAAGCCTTGTATGGATACAAGCCTCCTATGATTAATTGGCATACTGATATCAGTGTCAATGCAGTACAAGAGATAATGGGGGAAAGAGAACAACTACAAAGATTACTTAAAGAGAACTTAGTTAAGGCTCAACATCGAATGAAACAAAATATAGATAAACACAGAAGTGATCGAGAATTTAAGGAAGGAGAGGAGGTTTACCTAAAATTGCAGCCTTACAAGCAATCATCCGTAGCTGTTAGAAGAAACTTGAAACTTGCAGCAAAATTTTATGGACCCTACAAAATCCAAAAAAGAATTGGGTCAGTAGCGTATCAATTGGAACTGCCAACACATTAAAAAATCCACCCAGTTTTTCGTGTGAGTTTACTGAAGAAGAAAGTGGGTGAAGGAGCAATTACCTCTAAGAATCCTCCTGAACTTAGTGAGGATGGGCAGATGAAGGTTTATCCGACCATCGTGCTTAACAAAAGGATAGTGAAGAGACAGAAAAAGGCGATCACACAACTACTGATACAGTGGTTGAATTTGGGAGAAGAAAACGCCACTTGGGAGGATTATGCTGTGTTGAAATCCAATTTTCCAGATTTCGATCCTTGGGGACAAGGATTAGGTGAAGGGGAGGGAAATGTTATGTGCGTAGAGAAAAAGGGGGAATTGTTAGGGATTGCTGTTGAGAAGCTAGGGATTAATCGTGGAAAAATTGGGGGAATTGAAATATTACCTGGAGCAGAAGACCCGAATGGCTATTTGGAGCAGAGGACCCGCGTAGTGATACCAACAGAGGATGGGCTGGAAATGAGGAAGAGTGGCCCAACAAGAAGTGACCCACCAGTTCTGATCTGTTGAGGAGAAGCCCATCACGTGAACCACAATTAGTTATGAACTGCCAGATGTACATAATAAGTTTGTTAGATTTTGTACTGAAGAATATAAGCAGAAAATGTAATAGAAAAATCTATTCTGGCAATTAATGAAAAAGTCATATTTTCTCTTAAATCTATTCTTCTAAATTTCTCTAAATCCCTAAATTCTTTCTTGAATTCTCTAAGGTTCATAACACTTTTACTATGACATTATTTCCAATGTTAGAGAAGCCATAATATGCAGAACTTTAGAATATGGAGTTTCAAGAAGCTACTGGAGAGATTTGCTTCTTGCTAAAGAAGATTTGCTTTAATTTTATCAACATCTTCTGAAGATTGCTAACAAGGCACACTGCACAACTACCCATGCCCATCTAACTGTTTAGACTTTAAATTGTCCTAGCTAGGAATATTCTCCAACCCCTAACCATCAAGTAATTACACTTAACATCCACTTTCATTAAAGATGTAAATCTTGGTTACTTACAAATAGAAAAACAAAAAATCAATTCCACAATAGTGAAAACGAAAGATATCTCATGGAAATCGCTCAGATATGGCATCAAAACAAGCTATACAAACTTTAATATATTATCTTCAAGAAAAATGAAGGTATAAGGATATGGGGAATGACAACGGATGACTATTAGCCAGAAGTAATAGAGTGCTTACTTGAATGTTTTAACTCTTTCTAGAAAATCATGCCACAAAATATTACCATCACGCAACTTGATGCTGATACTAGAGCTTCTGGATGGAATAACAATGGCCATAGGTGCCTGAGCTTCCACAACTCTACTGCAGAATGGAAGCTACATTGTGAGATAACCTTTATAAGAAATTAGAAATATAAATACAACGGAACCAGTGGCAGATCTTGGCACTAGACTTTGGGGAGGGGGGACTACAGATTTTTTTTAATGGTGTCTAACATATATATAACACAACTTTGACGGTAGTTTTGTCATGGTGTTTCTTCAATATATAAATATATATTAATGAGAAATTTTAAAAATTTTCAGAAAATAATTGAAAATTTCCAAATATTTGAGGGGGTCTAATGATCATTTTTAAAATTTCAAAGGGCCAAATGACAATTTTCGAAAATTCTGGGGCCAATCCCCCTTCTCCCTGTCCTGACTATGTTCCGTCATTGAAAGGAACATACTGCCTTAAATAGTTGATGACAAAGTTTAAAGAAATTCACCTATACAAAGGTAGTCTTTTCTCACTACGAATAATAAGATCTGAAATAGAGGAGCAACCAAAGAATTAAACGACAGAGTAAATGTACTTAAGTGAGGATAAAGAAAGATACAAAAACCAGAAAAAAACCTAAGGACTAAGTCATGCTATTTATCATCTGAAACAGTAAGCTTCTATATAAAGGTCATCTAAGTGACTTTTACAACTTTCTATCCTATAAAAAAGAACATATCAGGACATACATTGCACAGAACTAATTCAAATTAACAAATGTCATGTAAGCACGATAAGAGCATGAGCTCCAAAAACAAGTTGCAGATATTCAGAAGAGATTGTAAATACAAGAATAATACTAATCTGCTGAAAGGAAAACAACCCGAGTAAAAATGGCTTTCGCTTCTGATATTTTGAGCCTTGTTGATATTTCAAGTGAAGCAAAACTGTCAGCAATGGATACAACTACATGGCCTGCTAGAACAATTGCAAGATAGATAATCACAGAGTAGACATACATTGGCATATCAATTGCAATTGCAGAACCTCCGTCCATACCCAGAGCATCGAGAGCATGTGCAACTAACCTACAAATTAGAACAAAAAAGGACTGCTGGTTAATATGATATCAAAAGTTGGTAGAAATACTAAGAACAACAATTTTTATTACAACATCAGAGACCCTTCATTGATCAAATTAAAAAATTCTAAAGTACATAAGACTATTCCCACACACCTTAGTAAGTAGAATCACCCAATTAAATTATAGTAAAAATTTTAAAATATTATCTATTTCTGACATACATGCTCAAAATCACAAGCAGTAACGTGCGCAATACATAAACATATATATAAATAAAGAATCATTGAAATGAACCCAATGAACACACCAATTTGGCTAAAAATCCTTCAAAACTACAAGACAACTATAAGAACAAAATTGCTTCTAAAATTCCAAATTAGCATCAATAGATTTTTCAAAATCGGTAGTGAGAGAAGCTCCCGCTTCTCTTTAGGGCCCAGGTGTTTTTAAAATAAAGGTGTTTTCTCCACCGTCAGTCGTCTGCCGTCCACTGCCGCCGTCCGCCGTCTGCTGCCGCCGTCAGTTGTCCGCCGCCATACTCCGACCACCGTTTGACACCGTTTTTTCCAGGGATAGTCGTTTGCTCACGGGGATTACAAATATGGCCTTAGATTCGAGAAAAAGACTGTCATTCGACGTAGATCTACACGTCGTCCACTGAAGATTGACGACGCCTCCCGCCATTTCATTTCGTCTCCGCCTCACTACCGAACTCAGTGCTTTATCTCGACCTAAACCCGGGTGTTCTACTGTCAAGAATCTATGAACAATTTAGAACTCACCATGAAACACCAACCCCTATCTAAGCCCAGCCGACTTCTAGGTTTCACTTCATCAGGCACAGTGACAGCTTCCTCTGTGAGGCACGCTACTGTTCCTCCTTCATCGTCAAGGGTCTCTCAATGCCCTCTTGAATCATTTAGCCGTGGTGTAACTGTCGATGTTCCTCTGGGTTCTGCCAAGGAGTTAGACGCGAGAGTGAAGGATCTTAAAGCAATAGAGGCAGATTTGAGTAAGTGGGAAAAAGAAGGAGAAAGCAGTAGCACGAGGTAGGTTTTTCAAAACCTCTAGATCCGCCGGTGTAACCACGTTATCTTACTCCGGTAAGGAAAAACATGAAAATGAGAAATAAAAGGAGAGGACAAAGATTCGAAAACGGCACATGCGAGTTTTCACCAGAAACATGTTGACCGGATTGAGGCAATATGGTAACTTCCCTCTTCCCCACATGCTGCTATGAACGATGTACTGGCCGCCTTGGCATGTGAGGTTGGTTAGACAGTTGAGCCCGACGGCACTACTTACAGACACTTTCCGACGCCCCAAAATCTACAAAATTTGAAAACATATCCAGCGAGATCAGGTGAAGGTCCACTATCAAAGAATCCTTTGAAGAAGTGGTCCACCAAAGAAATATTGGATTGTCAGCCACCTGTGGTCAGAATTGATGACATTGGTTTGTCTCCTTCACAAGGAGGGAAAAACATGAACGAGAAGCTTTCGTTAGTACAGGAAACACCAGCTTTTTCTGTCGTCGATGTTGATCATGTTGGTGCCAAGGAGATCAATTCGAAAGGGTATTTCGATGAAAAGTTTTCTGTAGAAGCGGGAAGGAGAAGAATTGGGTTTCAAAATCGGTGGAAGGAATGTCAACCAAAAATCGGTGATGGGTTCAGAAATGGTTGTTACACGATATTTATCGAAAACCTTCCACAGAAGATCCATTGGAAGAGACTTGAATCTATATTTGGCACACATGGTCAAGGTATTGATGCCTTCATTCCTAAAAAAAGGAACTCAAATGGGGTTCACTTTGGGTTTATTCGTTATGCTACAATTGAAGAAGCAAGGAAAGCGATTTCTATGATGAATGGTAATCATATTTACGGCAGCAAAATTAGAGTATCATTGGTTAAATATAAACCCCGACAGTCTTACTGGCGAAAGTCCTCGACAGTTGTTGAACGTAAGTATGGGATGGAAGATTTTCCGAGGAATAAACAATGTGAAGTTGAGGGTGTTAGGGACGAAGATAAACTTCACGTGTTGAGTAATTGTCTTGTGGGGTGGTGCAAGAACTTTATCAAAATTGATAATCTTGCTAACCAAATACAAGACAAAGGACTAGCTGGTTTCACGCTAATGAGAGCTGCTGGAAATGTAGTTCTAATGGCTTTTGAAGACTCTGATTCGTTGAGAAGCGTGAAGGAGGATAAGTTAGAGACTCTTGCAGAATGGTTTTCCAAAGTGGAAACTTGGTCAGAGAGACTTGTGGTGGAGTGCCGACGCGTGTGGTTAGTTTGCGAAGGTATTCCTTTTTACGCTTGGTATTGGGATACTTTCAAAAACATCGCAACTAAGTGGGGCAAGTTAATAGCAATTGACAACAGTTGTGAGTTTCCATCGTCTTTTGATCGGGCTAAAATTCAAATACTCACAAATGTTCAAGGGAGAATTGATGAGTTGTTGGAGTTGATGGTCGGTGATAATGTATTCATAATCTTGGTGCATGAAGTTGATCTGTCCTTCAAACCTAATTCTTGGGTCCCTGAAGATTGCGATATTTCATTAGAACTTGTTCCTCCAATTGGATCGTGATTGTTTGACAGCTGTCTTCAGAGGCGTTTTTTAGTTTGGGGCTGTAATTGTTGGTTTTTTTGCTATGTTATCTATATCTTGAGGTGTATTCTAGAATTAGGGTTTTTGTCTTAGGGGTTTTTTGTTGGTAGATGGAAGATTATTAGGTGATATGGTTTGTAATGGTGTATATTCCCGTATGAGGGTTCGGTGTTACCACATGTACTTGGTCTTTTATTTAATAAAATATGAGGCACTCTTTTCTTTCTTCCAATGTTCTTCAACATACTTCTAAGTATGTGGAAGAATACGAAGGGAGTTTTTAATGAGACCTCCAATTCTTATAAAAAAACAAAATTGCATCTACAACATAAAACACAGAAATTACAAGGCCACTGATGTTTAATCTTATTGCAGCTTATTGGGAACTAACAAAAGACATTACTACTCGATACCATTTCTGTTTGTACTTGCTAGCATCTCATGTTATGCTTTCCATTACTTCCGTGATGAATGTAAGGATCCAGTAAAACCATTTAGTTAATTCTGAACTTCACTTTCATTTAGTCTGGATAAATTTCGCTTTTAAGATTTTGAAAGAAGATTCCAAGACAAACTATCTTAACTGTAATTATGCATACCGAAAGAAAAATAATGATAATAGAAGCAACTATGAACAAACACTGGATCTATGAGATGAAGAGCAACATACCAAACCTCCGTCTGCAATTCCTTGAGTTTCATGCTTTTCACAGGCAGATCATCCCCTCCCTCATCACGCCATCTTATTACTATGTCATCCAAACTTCTCTTACTATTAACAACCAAGCAGTTCTTCGCGGGGTTCAGAAAAGTTCCAGGAAGCCATTTACCCCCTGGATTCGATATGCAGCTATCTTCAGAGGGACTCTGTAAGATACAATCAGGAGGAACCGAAAAATATACACACAATTCATCCAGTATAGTTTCCCAATAAACCTGGCACATCAATAGGAAACAATATTTGTTTACTACTAACCCAAAATTCAAAATCATCAAATACCATTATGTTATGTTTTTAAAAATGCAACCTTGGAATCATAACAGTCATACCTCAGGATTTGAGACCGAAAATTCCTGAAGATGAGGGAAACTAGATATAGGGTCGTCGTATTTGGAGCCCAGGAGTTCTTTTCCACGCCTCTCCAACAGACGCCCAACATTTGTTAACAATGCACTCTCCCTTTCCATACATGATTTGACAGAATAAAGAAATCAGTACTAATAAACCAACCTTGTGCAATTGAAAATTCTTCCTAAATTGGGGTTATAGCTTGTGATTCATCTACGTGACAAGCTAAAATATTATTCAACCATTGCACCATCTAGTTGGAGCAATTCTAGGCTAGCAAGCCATTGAAGAAAAAAAGAAGAAATCTATTAGCTAAAACAGATTAATATTCGATTATTATCTTTACTGCATTCTATCAAAGAAATATAATTTTCAATAGCAAATTAGACTTCCCTTTTTCTTCTCAAAGGATTTCACATCGAAACAGAATATTACTCATCCAGTTCAGTGCGCAGAAACAAAAGTATATGGTTTTTTTTTAACTCAATCAAATCAGAGTTTTTTCAATGTTTGCATAAATAAATTAAACTGAACTATCAGGAAAAAAAGGGTGGAATCTGTAAATCAATTTAAAGGAAAAGGGCAACGACTCGAATATCAAAGTAAAACAATAAATACTATAACGATGGAAAAAAATACTCACGGGTCGGGAATCCAAGCAGGAGGGTCGGGTTTGAAATCTTTGTAACAACCGTAGTACATTAGTTGATGAAGAGAGAAAGGGAGAGTAGGGGTAAGGACATGTTTGGAAATTCGGCTCCAAGTCTCCGGCGAGGCAGATCCGTAATTACGAACGATCTCCGTCACCTTCCGGTGAATTTCTCCCGCAAGTTCAATCGGAATCCCCGATGCCACCACATCTTTAAAGGACAGGGAATCCAAAGACTTGTACATTTTTTTTAACTTTAGTTTTGTTTGGACTCGACCGTGAAAGAGATGACAGAGGCTTCAGTGTCGAAAGCTGATGAGCTTATATGTTTTGAAAGTTGGTCTTGCATGTACTCCTAAAACAATGCAACTTCTGACGTTTTTTAATATTACTTTGATTGGCCAAATTCTATCACTACTCCCTCTACTATATTGTATTAACGGATTTAATCATTGTATTTGAATTGTGCTGATGTGGCTGTATAAAATGTAAATATATATAATTTTTTTAATGTAAGATACTTGCATGCAGTATTATCTGGTTTAAAGGCTCTCAGCTATTTCATAATGAACACTCAAATAGTCTGTAATCTCTCGTGCACGAATTTGAGATCTATGTGAATAACAATTATTTCTTTAAATACAGAAGTAACTTGATTTGTGCTTAAATGTAAATATTTGGGTTTTTAAAGGCTTAATAAACTTTTTAGTGTTTAAATTATACCTCAAAATACGATTTGGTGTCTAATTAATTTTTTTACTAACAATAGGTGCATAATGTTTCTAATGTTACACTTTTAGATGCATGGACCATAATAACTGTTAAATTTGGCCATTGTCTGACATGTGTCATGCATATAAAATTTTAAAAATTGATCGACCATGGTCGTCACCATTCCCACCATCAGAACTGTCTTGTTGCTGCAACCAAAACTCAATCTCCACCCACCATGAAACTGCATCGATCATCGTGGGTCACCGAATTTCTAGATTTTTCATTGTTGTTTTTAGTCGATTTCGACAATTATAGCCTTCCGTAGGTTACACGGTCATCACTGGTGAATTTTTTGTCCTACTCAAAACAAAACTCGATCGGCCGTGACCCTTCGAAGTCGGCGGTGGGGGAGAACGATGAGGGGTTGATTTTGTTAATTGTTTTTCTTTCTATAAAAAGTATTTTTATTATTAAAAATTTAAAAATAAGAAATAATGATAGATACCTAAATGTGTAACGGAGAAATCTGTAGACACCTAAAAATATAACGAAGAAAACATTAGACACCTATTGTTAGAAAACAATTCCTTAGGCAAGGAATACCATGCAAATTAATGGTGAGGAAAAAGGGTTTCCCTTATTTATGATTTTACTGACCTTCTTCATCCCAAAAATATTAGTATAAGATTAAAATCATACCCTAGGTTGTATAAGATTGAAAGGTGTTCTTGAACATGATCTAAATTAATGTAAGGATTTTTTTCCTTGACTTTTTTCCTCTATAGGGAAATGGTGATTGGAGATGATGTTAAAAGTTAAAACTCCCTATCGATCAAACGGACCACGTAAATCGGACAACAATCATACTTATAAAATTGGGTAAACTACACAAATTGTCACTAAGTGTAATACCCCAAAGTATGGGTTAGTATTTTAAGGTTCACCCGAGAGGTAAGTGGACATGTGAAATTTATAATTTAATTCGTTGGGCTTAATTGGGTGGGGTTCAAGCCCAATTATTCTTAAAATGAGATTTTTAATTAGTAGAAAAATGAGGAATGACCAAAAGCGTTATTTCTCCATTTTCAAAAGATAAAGCTTTATATTCTTTATTTTCTTCTCTCCTTATTTTCTCTCATTTTTCTTCTTTTTCATCTTATACTCTCCGAGGGTTAAGCCTAGGTAAGAGTTTAAGCCTTTTCATGCTTTATTTTCATTCGTAATTCCTTCAACAACGTCGTTATAGTGAATGAAGCCTTGGGAAGAGAAAAGTGAGAGTTTCCACCAAAATCACCAAGGAAATGATTCTGACTAATCAAGGGGCTTCATTTCGGGCTTCTAACTCCAAGGTAGTGTATTTCTAATCCTTTGGAGTGTTAAGATTTCCATAAGTATGAAAGTTTTGCTATGATTTGAGTATTTAAGCATTTTAGGGTTTATATTTGATAATATGATCAAATCACATTTTAGAGGTTTAAAAGACATTTTTATGCTACTTTAAGACCCTAGTTAACTCCCTAAAGCTTCAGAATATGATTAGAAACCAAACTAAGTCATTTAGGGTAAATTTTAAGTGTTTCTTGAGCTTAAAATAACCATTTTTGGGGTTGAGTATCGATACTGAGATGAACAGTATAGATACTGAATGAATTGAGGCTAAAATTAGGGATTTCAAGCTAGGAGTATTGATACTGCCAAGGGGAGTATCGATATTGCACCTACAATATCGATACTTAGGGTGGCAGTATTGATACTAAGCCTCAATTTCATAAACAAAATACATTTTTGGTACATATACTCATAGGTATATCGATATTTGTGTAACACCCTGAATCCTGGTTAGTAGTCTGGGTCAACCTAAGACCCATAATTAGATCCCAAATGACCTATTAAAATAGCTTGGATCGTGTTTAGTAGCAATTGGGCTTTAGTTGGGCCAAGAGAATTTTTAAAGGTTGTTGGATTTGTTAAAAAATGGAAAATAGATGGACTAAAGGTGCAATTTTTCCATTGTTGTTTTGAAAGCTAACCCCCTTATTTTATGGTGTTTACGTGAACTACTCCCATCATCATTCACCAAACTTTCTTCTTCTTCCTTCCATCTTTTTATGTTGCTTTTCCTTTCTGAAACCAAGATATTAAGCATTTCAAATCTAGTTTGGCTTAACTAAGGTGAGATTATGAATCCTTATTCTCTTAGCTTCAATTCAAGATCCATTTCTCATGTTTTTAGCCATGGAAAATAAAATGGGTTTTTGAGAGGGTTATGAAAATTTATGGATTCTAGATCAATTTTGGGTAGATTTGAGTTATAGAGAGTGTATTTAAATTGTATACAACACCTAGTTGAGTTAGTAATCTATTTTTTCTACTTTGTTTAGTGAATAAGGTAGGAGAGAGTTCTAAAGCAAAAGGGAAAGAAAAAGTGACTCCTAGTTGATTTAGGAGAAGCTTTAACAACAAGGGAAATCTGTTAACACAGTTACAACTTCTTTAGACCTTTAGCGAGTCATTACAAATACAAGATAGATTATGAGTTGAGTTTAAAGCTTGATGAGCATTTCCATGGTATAATTTATGTTTTTAATATGTTTTAAAGCCTTATTTATGACCCTTATTGATAACATAAGACACTAATAACAATTGGGAACCTCAAAGTAGTAATGTGGGTGAATTTGAGTGCCCAAATAGGTCCATCTCCAGCGAGGGTATCAGTACTGAAAGAACAATAACGATATTGTTCTTCAAACCAGCCTAAAATTGTTTAAGTTTCAAAAGAAGTATCAATACTCAAGGTCCAATATCGATACTCCAAGGGTAAGTATCGATACTAGAGTACTTTTGAAGACATCGAAGCCAAATTTGGTATTGGTACTCATAGGAGTATCAATACTAGACATATTTTCAAAACATCGAATCTAAAACTCATATTAATACCATGGTGAGGTATCGATACTAAAAGAATAGTAAAAATACTGAATTACCAGCGTAAATTTTCAAACATTATTTTCTAGAAATTTTAAGTGTACTATGAGGTTTCTCAAGAACTCTATGATTACTTTCAAATAAAATTTCAAGTGGAAACATTAATAATGATTAATCACACATAGAAACGAGATCAATTAGGGTGACATATAACTAGCCTTGATTGATGTTCGGGAAATGATCACAACACTCAAGTTCCTTTAGCAAATATATAGGTGTCGAAGTATAGAATAAGTCCAGATATCCTTATATAGTGCGCAAGACATTTTAAGCTGACTAACTATGGTGCAAGGTCCGAAACTCGCAAGGGGTGGGTTAGTCGAGGGTGTTGTGTCCGACGTAAAGATTCCAAGCCTTATCCTCAGTAGATTAGAGGGGTGTGTGAGCTCTGAGATGTAGAATCCCTCGGTCGCACCATAATGTCCACCATAAAGTACAGAGTGGGTATACGAGTATACACACTATTATATTTCTTTATCAGTTAGCTTGAGCATGAAATGAACACTTTTAATATGTTTAGTTGTTAGTTGGTACAGGGCTAGTTAGCTCATCGTTTTGAATTAGTTTCCTTACGCAGATTTATAGGTGTATTTATTGAGGAGATTTTGTTCAAACTAGATCCATATCAGATTCAGATCAGAGTATGTCACGAGTTCTTCCTTGAGGGCATGTATATTTGTAAACCCTATTTTTTATATTCTAATTATAACTTATTTTAAATGATGGTTTGTATATTTTGATTTATTATTTTGTGAGCTCCTAATTGTAAATCGCTTTATATAAATGTTTTCGTTTTATTTCATGATGAGTGTTCCTAAATGATTGTTTTAATTGAGCAAGTAAAGAAAATTTTTGGTAAACCACTCCGGTGGTTCTGTGTGGCACTCTGATCAATCGATTGTGGGTCGTACTAGTTTAGGGTGTTACAACTTTTCACAAGTAGAGTATCGATACTGCTCACATTGAATGGTTAGTTTTAACCCAGTTAAGGCCCGAGCCCGAAAGAGATAAGAACGATCTGAATTAGTAAGACTTAGTTGTGAGAGTTGGAAAAGGCCAAAGGGGCTCGAATGTACTCGTAGGAGTGGGTTACAATCGAGGTTACCATAGTAGGTATAACGCGTTCAGGATTCTTCAATTGAGCACGTATAGAGATTGGTTGAGAAAGAGGATCGTTGTAGGGGATGTATTGACCAATGGTATAACGAGCAAGTCAAATTCAGAAATAGTGAAAAGTATGGGCTTCGAGTCGTCTTTTCAATTTGAGGGGGTATTGAAAGGAATTTCAATGAGTCCGATAAAAATTTCACTACCCGTGTCGAACCCGAGTTAGCCATTGGGCTAATGGATAGTACAGTCAGTTAACAACAACCTCAGAAATAGTCGTAAAACCCCGAGAACGCGTAGAGACTTCGCTAGAGGCAGAGAATGAGTAAATTAACCTTCAGTAACGAGTAAAAAGAGTGGAGCAACATACTAAATAAAAATAGTAGTTGACCAATAAGCCTTCGCGTAACATTCTGGTTAGAGAACAAGCAAGATAGCATCTAGTGGGAGGATGACCTCACCGTAGTGAGTCCAGTTATGCTAGGTTATACCCAGGTTACCTTAGTTGCCCTAACTGTT